CATTCACCTTACCTTGCCGTGGCCTACGTCGCGCTACGAATCCGGCGGACCGAGTTCCAATCCTGCCCAGGTCCAACACCGCCAGTGACGAATATTTGAACCGGTCCTGTGCCTCCCCTAGGTCGACTCGACCTTAAAATAAGTACCCCGTGCGGTGTGTAGTAAACATCGGCACTGGGGAGACAAAGGCGGCCGGGCGGGCGTGGTGGTGGTGGCCACCCACCCACCGCTCGCGTGCCGTGGCCGCATTCATAGGCGCTGCTGCTGCTGCTACTGGCTAACAGCACTTGCCCCGACATCATGCGGAGCCTACACGGGGCCTCTTTGTCTTTGTACACGTGTGTGTGTGTGTGGCACAGCTGGTACATATGCCAGTCATCTCTACCCACAGCGCACCCGGGAGACCTTACGTCGCCAGCATCTCCGGCCCAAATTGGCGCCGCAAGACGTGGCCGCCTGGGGGTGCAACAGGGCTGCCCCGCGCGGTCACCAGGTGCCCCTGAGGCCGTTCCGCGTCAGTCGAACGAACCAGCTGGTCGGGATCGATCCCGAGGGGCCGTTCCCGCGATTCCCACCGGGGCGACCGCGAAATCCTCGTAGCGGTCGAATAGTTCACCCGCTATCCCGTGGCGGCGGTCATCCCGATAAAACGGCCCTTGTGGTGGCTAACACCCATCGCGAATACCCGCCCCCACGGCCCTTTAAATCGCCGTCAATAGAAGTCCCCAATCTAGATTTGAAGCTTTCGTGACTGCAAGGATTCATATTCTTAGGTTTTTTCGGTAAAGTCACGTAGGTAAAAAAATGAAATTAAAATGAATAAAGTAAAATAAAAATCACGACGTTTCGGAGGCAACACAATTTTAAGTTTATTTTTTTACCTACGTGACTTTACCGAAAAAAACCTAAGAATAAGTCCCCAATCGGTTACGCGGGTACGAGTGACGTCTCGGCCCTCTGATCCCTGATCCCCGTTCCGCGCGTGCGATCGGTGCGTCGGTCCGAGACCCGTCCCGAATACCCGCCCATCCACAGCCCTTTAAACCATCTCCGTTACCCACCCACGGCGGCCGCGCTTGTGCGAGCGACGTGTGATTGGTGCGCGGGGTTGTGCGAGTGGAGACGTAGCATTATAATAAATTACTATCGAAGGCATATAAAAAAAAAATCTTAAGTAAAAGCAACCATAATAGAGGTTTTGTGGGTTAGATCGCGTAAATATATAAATGTTGTGTCGTTCAAACCCGACACCACCCGACACAGCCAACCAGTGAGGGTTGTCACGTAAACAGAACGTGGCCAATTCGTCACTAGCACAGCACTAGTGTGTAGTGTAGTGTATAGTGTGGTATACTAGTACAGCACTAGTGTATAGTGTAGTGTATAGTGTAGTGTAGTATACTAGTACAGCACTAGTGTATAGTGTAGTGTATAGTGTAGTATACTAGTACAGCACTAGTGTGTAGTATACTAGTACAGCACTAGTGTATAGTGTAGTGTAAAGTGTAGCATACTAGTACAGCACTAGTGTATAGTGTAGTGTATAGTGTAGCATACTAGTACAGCACTAGTGTATAGTGTAGTGTATAGTACAGTATACTAGTACAGCACTAGTGTGTAGTGTAGTGTATAGTGTAGTATACTAGTACAGTACTAGTGTGTAGTGTATAGTGTAGTATACTAGTACAGTACTAGTGTGTAGTGTATAGTGTAGTGTATAGTGTAGTAAACTAGTACATCACTAACCGGTGTGTTGGAGAGCCAAGCCACAACATTTACAATCTGAGTTCGACGTTTCGCCAGTAATTACAACCAACTTCATCAGGCGACAGCCAGATTTGTGACGAAGTCTGTTTCGTTCCTTATATCGAGGTGTAGATGTGGTGACCACACTAATTCGCTCTTGTGCAAAGTGGGGGGGGGGGCGGGTTACTGAGTCAACGCACATTATCCATGTGCATTATGGGAGCCCTTTGATCTTGTCCTTCCTGTCTATTGTTTATTAAAATAGCCGTGCCAACGGTAATCCCTGTTGAAGTATGGTGCCCTTCTTCTTGGTTATTTCGGTAAAGTCACGTAGAATGGAAATAATAAAATAATAAAAATAAAATACAATTTTATTATTTTTATTTCATGACTGCAGGGATTCATCAAGAAGATGAATCCCTGCAGTCACGAAAGCTTTAAATCGAAATATGGTGCCCTTCATAGCCATTCATTTAAACAATGTGTTACTTGATTAGCTTCCACGCAGCTCGAAGGCGGTAGATATCGTAACGGTTAAAATTATTTTTATTTCTTTCAATTTCGATAGATTCTCTAATTACTCTTGATCTAATGGAGCTAGTTTATCAAAATAAATTGAGTGTTCTTGTTGGCACGCGTGTTACTGGCGAAACGTCGTACTCAGATTGTAAATGTTGTGGCTTGGCTCTCCAACACCACACCGGTTAGTGCTGTACTAGTATACTACACTATACACTACACTACTATACACTAGTGCTGTACTAGTGACGAATTGGCCACATTCTGTTTACGTGACAACACTCACTAGTTGGCTGTGTTGGGTGGTGGCGGGTTTTAACAACACAACATTTATATATTTTCGCGATCTAACCCAAAAAACCTCTTATGGATGATATTGATCGCTAAAGCCTACGTGTTCAACCATCTCAGTCAACTCGAGGCACCTGGGTCTATCCCGTGACCTGCACTTAGCCTGGCACAGTAATGAACCCATGGCACCTGGCTTGTCCCCGTGACCTCCTGCCAGCAGAGAGCCTTTGACGCTTCACGTTGCCTCAAAGTGCACTTAGCCTGGCACAAGTGCCGTGGTGAACGTGGGTTGTTGTTTGATACGTGTGTGGATGAGTACGTGTGAATGAAGGGGGTGTGGGAACGTGGCGTTGAGATGTGGGAAGCTGTATGCCCCAGGCTACTTTGGGTTCGCCTCCCCGTCAACAAGAGGTGAGGAGTGGTGGTGGTGAACATCAGTGGAGGGATGCGGGAAAGGCCGATGAGTCCGTTGCCTTGATGACCTCCTGTCCCAGGTGCTGGCTAAAGTGGCCCCTCCTGGGAGTCATCCTGTTGGGTGACTTTAATGCTCGCGTGGGTCATAATGCAAGCACCTGGGCCAGGGTGATTGAAAAGGCATGGACCAGATCAGCTAAATAACAATGATAGGAGGCTGCTAGAAATCTATTACCAGCACGCTGTTGCGGCACCGGCGCCTCCACACATCATGGACGCACGTACGCTCCAAGCAAGAACATCTGCTGGACTGCATAGTGACAAAACAGCGGATGCGGGCCCATGTCCTTGACACCAGGACCTACTGCGGAGCTGATCTGCTGACCATCGGCTTGTAATCGATAAAATGCGCCTGCCTTTATTCCGATGCGGTGGTGGCCAACCACCTCGGACCTCTTTCATTCCCAGTCTCAACGAGCGTTATGAAAGATGCAAGTGAGAATTTCATCACTCTACAACATAACATCCCTACGGCGGCTTACTGCAGCCTTCACTCGGAGGTTCGGAGAGCCATGCGGTGCTGAAGGATGAGCGGTGGCCACAGTTTTCATTCCATAAAAAAAAGTAACTTACAGCGCCACAATTATCACCATCCTCAAGGACCTTCGTGATGGTGGGCAGGCCTGGGTAAAGTTACGTGCGTAGGAGTCGGAGCCATTCCCCGCTCACCTTGGGGCGTGACAGGGATGTCCTCTGGCTCGTACTTTACACTTTTGTTTAGCTACGGAGTAAAACAATGTTCCATGGCTGTACCAGGAGAATTTCAATCTGCTACAGATAAAATGGGAGGCAGATGATGCCTCGGTGCGGTCAAGGGATGGCTCCTGATTGTCGTCAAGCATGTTCCTGATGCGGACGCTGTGGTGATTGATGCTCACGGGAGCCCACGGCTCTGCTGTTGGACCCGGAGTGTCACGAAGTAGTAGGTTACTAGCCAGTTTAACACTATGGGTACCTCAAAAAGGTGTCAGTTTTGTTGCCAGATAGAAGGGTAAAGAACCAATTATCATAGCCAGTTTAAGTCAGAACTGGCTGTGAGGTTTCCATCCGACATTCCGATGTTAGCACTTATTTTCGACTGATTTTACATTAACAGGTTCACACTAACACAGCCGCCGTTAACATTGACATGCTAATCTGTTACATTGTGACATGCTAATCTGTTACATTGTGACATGCTAATCTGTTACATTGTGACATGCTAATCTCTCAAACCTTTAAAACAGCCTGCCTCGGCAGCCTTCCCCCTTCTCCTGATGATTGCTTGTGTTGTGATCGAAACGTCGTGATATTTTTATTTATTTTTAAATCCTTTATATTATTGTTCTATCTACGTGACTTTACCGAAAGACCCAAAGAATATGAATTCCTGCAGTCACAAAAGCTTTAAGTCAAGATTTAGGTAGGTGGAGCTTTACCACCAGCCCCACAAACGAAGCACCTACACCTCCGTATTTTGCCCAACTGCCATCAGTTTTTCTTCCAATTCTGTTCTGATAATGCGAGTGAGTGGACTTGCAGAAGACGAGTACCAGCAGTGTCAAGATCGGCCTCGATGGTGGAGGCTTGCGAAGGACGCCGCTGGGCAGTTGTCCAAGGTGTGCCATGTATGAGTGTACTCGTGTGTGTGTAATGAGTGTGTGTATGAGTGTGTACTAACGTGCGTGTGGTGTGTGCGTGTGGTGTGTGCGTGTATGAATGAGTGTGTGCGTGTATGAGTGTGTGTACCAGTGCGCCGGGTGGCCAAAACACAAAGTTTGCGCAGTAGGGGGCACAGGCGGTGCATCTGCCAGTAATGTCAGCCAACCTATGGCACCTGGGTCTGTCCCGTGACCTGTCGGTAAGCCTTCGACAGGTCACGTGGCCTCAAAGTGTACCGAGCCTGGCAACAGGCCCCGTGTTGACGTCACCGCCACTCGTGGGGAACGGGCAGCGGTTGTTGAACCGTTGCGAGCGAGAGAGGCCGGAAGTGAGCGATCGTCTCTTTATTGAATTTCTCTAGTTAAAACCACGAGCGAGAAACAGGGCGACGACATGGGGCGGGGGACCACGTAAATAAAAGCGGCTTCGTAAGAAACAAACAATAACAACATCGTCATCATCATCGTCATCGTCACCACCGCCGAGGGGGCGGGTAGGTGGGGGCAAGGGGGGACAGGGCAGTCGAGTGCCCCCCCCCTCTCCTTCAATAACACAAAACCTTCGCTCCGCCTATGGCTACCATCGGAGGACTGCCTCCCCCCGCTCCTCATCACCCAGCGGTGGATCCGCCAATACGGAAAGTGTGCCGGGAGTTGTCCCCCCTCCCAACCCCCCAGGTGTCGTCACCTCCACTGGGTGCCAGGAATCGTCCACCCCCCCCCGCCCGCCACCCTGGGGTGTCGGGAGTGGTTGGGGGTGGTTGTGGTTGAGGGGGGTTCACACAGCACCGATCCCGGCTTTCGGAGCGCCATGTAACGCTTTTCAGAATCCTCGTCACGGTCGTCGTCACGCATCGTTAAATCTACAGTCGGGGAGGGGAGGGGGGGGCCTTCGACGACAAGCGGCGTCACGCGTCTCAGGCAATGGCCACGGGCGGTGGCAGCGGTGGCGGCGACGGCAAACACCCGCCGCCGCCACCAGCGCCCGCCACCGCCACGTCTCTCCTGGTCCCACGGTGTCGCCGGCGCCGCGGCTCGGTGGGGCGAGCGTGGCGGGCGCGGGAGGGGGGTGGGGGTCAATGCGGGAGGGGGGGGGACCGGGAGAGATTAGAGAAAGACTGTGGAGACTGGTGGTGGTGGTTGTGACTTGGGCAGGTTGGTGTGTGGATTATAGGGCCGAGTGGTGAGGGAGTAGAGGTGCATGGAGAGGTGGTGGGGTTTGTAGAGGGGGCGGAGTGTGGCGAGCCCAAGACTGGGCAACCGCAGATGGTATCACGTGCGAGTACGCGCGTGCCAGCCAGTAGCACCGACTGAAGGCGGGCACGGCACACCAGGGGGGGGTTGCTCGCTAACAGCACTTGCCCCAAAAAGGTCTGTTAAGGCTTTAGATGGGATCTATGTCTTTGTGCGCGTGCGTGTATGTGTGTACGTGCGTTGGGGGTCATAAATCCAGCCAAAGTGATCGCTCAGCACTGGACAAGCGACGCGGAGCGGGGGGAGAAGGGAGTGCGGGGAGAGCCGTGCTCCGCATCTTTCAAGCAATTAGAAGAGGATTGGGAGCCAGGCTGGTGATGTGTAATGAGAGCCAGGCTGGTGATGGGAACCAGGCTGGTGATGGGAACCAGGCTGGGGGTGAAGGGCGGTGTGGTTGACCGTGTGCTCTGGTGTTTGTGAGAGGGTGGTTGTGGTAGCTGTTGCCGGGGTAGGAGCTGTTGCCGGGGTAGGAGCTGTTGCCGGGGTAGGAGCTGTTGCCATGGTTGCGCTGCTGGGGGTAGCTGTTGCTGTGGTTGTTCCTGGGGGAGCTGTCGTTGCTACTGCAGCTGTTGCGGGGGGTACCTGCGGCTGTTGCCGCGGCTGTTGCTGGGGGATATCTGTTGCCGAGGGGTGGCCGTTGCCGCGGCCGTTGCCGAGGGGTGGCCGTTGCCGCGGCCGTAGCCGTTGCCGCGGCTGTAACTGGGGCTGTTGCCGCGGCTGTAGCTGTGGCTGTGTCCCCCTCCTCAGTTGTCCCACCAGTCGACCGAGGAACCACGGGATCTGTTGTAGCTCCCTCCATCGGAGAAGCCGAAGCTGCCTGCTCACACACACAAAGGTCCCCGCGCACAGCCCGTTACGGGGTGTCGAGGGGCAAGTGCCGTCATGGCTACGAAGGCCGGCACGGCGCACGAGCGGGGTGGGTGGGTGGCCAGAAGCACACCCGGCCGTCTTTGTCTTCCCCGGTGCCGATGTTTGCTACACAGGTACTCCACGTGCGGCCGAAACGACCTAGGGGCAGGCCGCCAGGTCCGGTTCAGATAATCGCTATCACCGGCGTTGGTGGTGGCAGTGAATGGGAATCGAATGCGAGTGTCTACCGGGTTCGTAATGCAGCGCTAACCGCTGCACCACTGCTCCCACACACACACAACAAAAACAAAGATCCTCCGTGTAGCCTTAAGAGCAGCGCCTATAAAGGCCGGCACAGCACACGAGTGGGTGGGTGGCCAGCACCACGCCTGGACAATTTTATGTCCCCATTGGTGCTGGTTACACGACACACCAAACACTCATCGACCAGGGCGAAGGCCCAGGATCGCTTCAGACAATAGTCACTGGTGTTGTTGGCCGCGAGTGGGAATCGAACTTCGGGTGCCTGGTTCGTAGCGCAGCACGCTCACCGCTACACTACCGCTCCCCACACACAGGGATACGTTCACTCACTTTCACACGCACCACCACCGGTTCAGATAACCGCTATCGCTGGGTGCTGGTGGTGTTGGTGGCCGTGAGCGGGACACCCACCTGAGCCTCCGCGGCTGCTCCCCCCGCCGGGGCTGGGGCCGCCCTTGCGCCCCCCACCGCCGGGGGGTCCGTGGGTGGTGCGGTAGTCACGGCCGCCAAACGCCCCTCCGCCACCGCTCCTGCCACGCACACACCACACGCACCTTAGTACACACACACACACACTGGCACACACACTCATACACGCACACTAGCACAAACCCACCTATATATATAAAAATTAAAGATCGTCCATATAGCCTTAACAGACTGTTAGGGCAAGTGCTGTTAGCGAGCACCTATTGAGGCCAGAACGGCACACGAGGGGTGGGTGGCCAGCGCCACGCCTGGCCGCCTTTGTCTCCCTGAGTGGTGATGGTTTTGATGTTTTTATACATCGCCACTGGTACTTATTTGAGACGACCTAGGGGAGGTCCAGGACCAGTTCAGATAACCGGTGGGAGTCGATCTCGGTGTGAGTCTATGGGTCTGGCTGATGACGGTGTCCATGTAGATTGACGGCTGTGATTTGACAGTGAGGTGGCTAAGCACTGTATGGCAGAAAGAGACGCTCACCCAGCCACGAGAAACAACACATGGGGGAGGCAGGGGGAAGAGAGGCAGGGGGGAGAGTGGAGAAGTGGTAGGTGGCTGGGGGGGGTGAAGTGATGAGGCAGATGGTGAGAGCGGAGGGAGTGCACTGCTGCTGCTGCTCCACGCTGGGGAGATTGCCCAACAGCTGCCCTAACCGCCAACGCACAAAGCCAAAGTCGCACAGCAACAACAACAAGTGCCACCATGGCGCTTGTGTCAGGCTGTGTGCACTTAGAGGTGTAACACAAGCGCGCACATACACGCACGTGCCCACGCACGCACCTCTTGCCGCGGCCGCCACCGCCCCAGGCCCCGCTGCGGCTCTGCTGGCCGTAGGCGACGCCCTCCAGCCAGGTGGGGACCTCCTGGTGGGCCTCCACCAGCAGGTCCATGAGGTCACGCGCCAGGCTCGAGTTCTTCATGTTGAAGAACGACGTCGCCAGGCCTGGACAACGACGGGGTGGGGGAGAGACGAGAAATGGCGTGAGGCACGGAGGGAGGTGTGGGAAGACGTGGGGGTGGGGGGGAAGAGTCTAGAAACGGCGCGAGACGTAGGGGAAGGTGGGAGACGTAGGGTGGGGAGGTGAGAAGAGACGAGATGGGGGGGGGGGACGCGGGAAGTTCATGTTGAAAAAAAAAACAAGAACGTCGCCAGGCCTGGACAATGACATGGGGTGGAGGGGGGGGGAGATGCAGAGGGGGGAGCGGTGGACACCACGAGGGTGGACAACACAGGGTGGTGGGGGGGGGTACGAGTGGTCGAGACGTGGGAAAAGATGCAGGGAGACACATGGACAACAGGGGTGGGTGCGTGGGTGGAGACGATCGCTCGGTGACCCTGAGCAGGCTCCCGCCCCTCCGCCACCAGGGGGATGCCACGCGGCTTCACCAGCCCCCGCCACAACCCCCTCCTCCTCCATTGGAGACCCCCAGAGGAGGGGGAGGGGGAGGCACACGCCGGGTGGTGCTCTGCGGCTCCAGCGAACCGCACGTGGCACCGCTGGAGCCGAGACCGGCTGCATATACCGTGTGCACGTGTCCGTGTGTACAAGTGCGCGTGTGCACGTGTTCGTGTGCGTGTGCATACGTGTGCGAACCCAGGTTGCCCACGCGCACCCGATGCGGGTCACACGTGTGTGAGTGTGCAAGTTGGGGTGTGTACACGTGCCTGTGTGTAGGTGTGGGCGTGTGTGCGTACCCAGGTTGCCCACGCGCCCCCGATGCGGGGCACACGTGTATGTGTGTGCACGTTGGCGTGTATACACGTGCCCGTGTGTGTGTGCAAGTTGGCGTGTATACACGTGCCCGTGTGTAGGTGTGCGCGTGTGTGCGTACCCAGGTTGCCCACGCGCCCCGTGCGGCCGATGCGGTGCACGTATTCCTCGATGTCGCTGGGCAGGTCAAAGTTAATGACGTGCTTCACGTTCGAGATGTCCAGCCCACGGGCCGCCACCTACAGACACAGACAAAGGTGACCCCGGGTAGTCTCACGCAACGCTGGTCAGGGGCAAAGTGCTGTTTGTGAGCAGCAGCAGCGCCTATGAAGGCAACCAGTGCGCACAATGGGGCGGGGGGTGGACAGCACCACAGCCATCCATGTGTCCGCTTATTAAAGAGAGCTATGGAGCTCATTGGGCCTTACCTGGTCAAATAAAAATTAGTTTAAACGTTTTAGCTCAGTTGGAGGCAGTCGCCGACTAGCAACAGAGGAGCGATGCTCACAACGAGCGGAGCGACGTGTGGCTAAAATGCAGCGAGTTGGCACAGTAGGGGGCACAGGTGGTGCATGTGCCAATCAGTCAACCCATGGCACCTGGGTCTGTCCCGTGACCTTGTCAGCAGAGCCTTGCACATTTGCAGTGAAGGGCCTTAAGGTGCACCTAGCCTGGCACAAGCGCCGTGGGGACGTCAACCCCACCTAGTAGCAGATGGCAGCCGTTGTTGTTGAGTATCTATCTATGACTATGTATCTCTGCGGAGAGGGGGGGGGTCATTTCACCACCACTCGGTGGCGTATGGTGGCTGATGTGCATTCCTGCTTGTGTCTGTTAAGTATGCACGTTGAACTTATTTTTCACCATAGGTAGCCAACCACGCCAATCGGAGGTGCGGGGGAAAGACAGCGAACTAAACGCAAAAAAACTGTTTTAAAGAAATTAGTTTGTCAATCTAGATGATGATTAAAAGTGCCAAGCTCCAGTCGTTTCCTAATATCGGAAGAAAGGACTTTCCAGATGGCCGCAGAAACACATCCTAAAGCACGCGATACAGCGACCGTCTTTGTGCGTCTCCATCTCTGTAAATCTCTGTGCATCCCCGCACTGCGCGCGGTCCCCCTCCCCCCGCACGTCTCCCCCCACAAGCCCCCCACCCACCCCCCCCCCCGTGTCAGTGCGAGTCTCACGGCGGTGGCGACCAGGATGGGGCACTTCCCCGAGCGGAAGTGGTGCAGCGCCTCCTCGCGGTCGCGCTGGGAGCGGTCCCCGTGGATGCTGGTCGAGGGGTAGCCCTCATTGTAGAGGAAGCCCTCCAGCGCGTCGGCACCGCGCTTAGTCTCCACAAACACCAGCGTCAGGGACTCCACCTCTACACACGCACATTGTACACGCACACATGCATACAGACACACGTATACACAAAGACCCCCATACACGCACACGTGTAACTATACAAACACCAGCGTCAGGGAAGTGTGTACGTGTGTGCGTGTGTGCGTGTGTGCGTGTGTGCGTGTGTGCGTGTGTGCGTGTGTGCGTGTGTGCGTGTGTGCGTGTGTGCGTGTGTGCGTGTGTGCGTGTGTGCGTGTGTGCGTGTGTGCGTGTGTGCGTGTGTGCGTGTGTGCGTGTGTGCGTGTGTGCGTGTGTGCGTGTGTGCGTGTGTGCGTGTGTGCGTGTGTGCGTGTGTGCGTGTGTGCGTGTGTGCGTGTGTGCGTGCCTCACCGGCGGCGTTGAGCAGGTCGAGCAGGAAGGAGCGCTTGTCGTCCTCCTCCACCCACACCACCTTCTGGGTGATGTTCTCCGACGTGGAGCCCACACGCCCCACCGCCAGGAAGATGTAATCTTCCAGGAAGTCCCGCGCCAGCATCTACAGCCACACGGTCAGACGGTCGGTCAGACGGTTGACCAGCCAGCTGGACACGGTTGGTAAGTCAGCCAGTTGGTCAGCCAGCCGGTTAGTCGGTCAGTCAACCAGCCAGCCGGCCAGCCAGCCAGCCGGCCAGCCAGCCAGCCGGCCAGCCAGCCAGCCGGCCAGCCAGCCAGCCAGCCAGCCAGCCAGACGACCAGTCAGCCAGGCGGCCGATTAGCCAGCCAGCCAGACGGCCGATTAGCCAGCCAGTGTGCATCTCTAACCTGGATCTCCCGGGGGAAGGTGGCGCTGAACATGAGGGTCTGGCGCTCGCCCTTGACGGGCATCACGTCCTGCTCCACAATCTTACGGATCTGGGGCTCAAAGCCCATGTCCAGCATGCGGTCAGCCTCGTCCAGCACCAGGAACCTGGGGGGGAGGGGGCGGACACGGAGAAGGGGAGGAGCGGGTGGGAGGAAAGAGCGGAGAGGCAGTCAGTCACATGCAGAGGGAACATGGAGGTATTGAGGCTTAGACTTAAGAGTCTATGGGTCTCCGTGCGATGAGTCTATGGGTCTCTGATAAGCGAGCCTATGGCTCTCTCCGTGCGTACCCCTCACATGGGAGGCCCCGGCCCCCCAAACCCCCCGCACATCTGGTGCGCTGCGTGCGGGAGTGCCCCGTGTGTGTGTGCGTGTCTGTGTGTGCGTGTCTGTGTGTGCGTGTCTGTGTGTGCGTGTGTGCGCGTGTCTGTGTGTGTGTCTGAGCGCTCACCTGGTGAACTCGAGGCCGATCTTGCCGCGCTCCATCATGTCGACCAGGCGGCCCGGAGTGGCCACCAGGAGGTGGCAGCCGCGCTCCAACTCGCGGATCTGCTGCCCGATGTCCGCGCCGCCGTACACCACGCAGGGGCGCACGCGCGAGCGGTACGCAAACTACACGCACAGAGCACATGCAGAGTACACGCAGTGTACACCACACGCAGGGGCGCAAGCGGTACGCAAACTACACGCACAGAGCACATGCAAAGTACACGCAGTGTACACCACACGTAGGGGCGCAAGCGGTACGCAAAGTACGCACGGCATAGAGTACACATAGGGGTGGGAGCGGCACTCAAACCACGCACGTCCGCGCATGGTACACACACAGTACACCACGCAAGGGCTAATGGAGGGGGGGGTAGGTGGTGGTAGCAGAGGGGGTAGGTAGCAAAGGGCGGGGGATAAGTGGTAGAAGGGTGTAGGTGGTGGGGGGAAGGTAGTAGAGGGGGAGTATAGGGGGCAGGTGACGGGGGGATAGGTGGGGTAGGTGGTGGTGGTGGAGTAAGTTGGCGGAGTGGGGTGGTAGGTGACGGTAGGTGGTAGTGGTGGTACCTTGCGCGACTCCTCGTGGATCTGGGAGGCCAGCTCACGCGTGGGCGCCAGCACGAGGGCCAGCGGGTACTGCTTGCGCCGCCCAAACCTCGCTATGTCCTGAGCGCAGCGACAACACAAAGACAAAGGTCCCCCGTGTAGGCTCAGCGGGCGCCGTTGGCGAGCGACAGCGACCGAGAAGTTCTGCACGGTGGCGCAAGAGGGTGGGGGGTGGGTGGCCAGCACCACGCCCCCCACCTTATTCATACGCGTACAGCACCAGGTACTCATTTGAGGCCGAGTCGACCTAGGGGAGGCCCAGGACCAGTTCAGATATCCGTCACTGGTGTTGTCCGTGAGCTGGAATCGAACTCGTGTCGCCCGGGTTCGTAGCGCAGGGCGCTAACCGTGGCGCCGCACTCCGGAGGGAGTGAGGGGAGGGGCCAACCCATGTATGTTCATGATGCTGAGAGTCAATGTCACGAGGTCAAAAGTATTTGGCTTCTGCTATGAATTTCCACGCTATCATGTGGCCAGGTTGCTTATGTTGCAATTATTTCGCATTGTTAGGCGTCAACTGTGCTAATCAAAAATTAACTATATAGCTCATTGGGCCTTACACCTGGTAAAATAAAAATATTAACAAGTTCAACTAAACTACTTTTAATTTACCAGGTGAGGCCCACTGAGCTATATTGCTCTTTTTCAGAAGCGGCCTGGCCACAGATGACAGCCCAACAAAGTTGCTCATCATGTGGAAGTTTATTGCAGCAGCCAATTACTCACAACACGTTTCTAAATGTGGAGAGAAAAACCAGAGGACCTGGAAAAAAATCCACGCGACCACGGGGAGAGACAGAAACTCGAAATATACAGCAGCCATCAGGGTCAGGATTGAACCCACGACCTGTCTTGCCAGGCGGGCGAGGTAGTTAACATTTCCTAGCCAGCATGGCACCCAGACTTGCGGAATGGCAGGGGGGCAGGGAGGGGGTAACAGACATCAGTAAAAAAAATAGACATTCATAGGCTAATCAGATTTCTCCAGGATACAATAAAAAAAACTAAACTCTGCAGATGTACGGCTGGATCGTCTGTACACTCACCTTGGCGGCCAGAAGAGCCTCTCCAGGACCCTCCAGGTAGATCTGGCTCAGGATGGGCACCAGGAAGGCGGCCGTCTTGCCGGAGCCGGTCTGCGCGCAGGCCATGAGGTCGCGCTTGCCGATGATGATGGGGATAGCGTACTTCTGCACCGGCGTGGGCCGCGTGTACCGAGTCAGCGCTATGTTCCCCATGATGATTTCGCCCATCTCCACCTCCTCAAACTGGCACGCAGAAGAGGAGAAAGGTCCGAAATTGAGAAGGAGAAAGGTCACCCACCACCCAAGCAAGTGCCGTTATCACGAGTCAACCTCGGGGAGGGAAGAGGGCTCACAGGACAAGTTCGCTGTCGCCGAGACAGCATCGGCACCATCAAAGCATCGCCGGAATATAGTTTAAAATGAATGATAGCCATGCAGTTTTAAATGCTATCCAGATGCTGACGGTAGTCATTCATTTTAAATGGTGACGGTGATGATGGTGGTGATGGTGGTGTCACGGTGCAAATGGTGCCGAGGGGGCGGCTGTCGGCATGGGGCTGGGGTAGAGTCGGCCCGGTCGTCTCACCGTGTCAATGTGGTTGGGGCAGTCGTGCCCGGTCGCCTCCACAGGGATGTCGTCATACTTCTCAAAGTTGATCCCCGTGTTACTGCCAGCAAAGAGCTCCCTACGCACCGCACAGAGCCACGACTCGTCACCACTGCCCCTACACACAGCCACTACTCGTCACCACTGCCACTACACAGCCCCTACTCGTCACCACTGCCACTACACAGCCCCTACTCGTCACCACTGCCCCTACACAGCCACTACTCGTCACCACTGCCCCTACACAGCCACTACTTGTCACCACTGCCACTACACAGCCACTACTCGTCACCACTGCACCTACACACAGCCACTACTCGTCACCACTGCCACTACACAGCCACTACTCGTCACCACTGCCCCTACACAGCCACTACTCGTCACCACTGCACCTACACACAGCCCCTACTCGTCACCACTGCCCCTACACAGCCACTACTCTTCACCACTGCCCCTACACACAGCCACTACTCGTCACCACTGCCCCTACACAGCCACTACTCGTCACCACTGCCCCTACACAGCCCCTACTCGTCACCACTGCCCCTACACAGCCACTACTCGTCACCACTGCCACTACACAGCCACTACTCGTCACCACTGCACCTACACACAGCCACTACTCGTCACCACTGCCATTACACAGCCCCTACTCGTCACCACTGCCACTACACAGCCACTACTCGTCACCACTGCACCTACACACAGCCCCTACTCGTCACCACTGCCCCTACACAGCCACTACTCTTCACCACTGCCCCTACACACAGCCACTACTCGTCACCACTGCCCCTACACAGCCCCTACTCGTCACCACTGCCCCTACACAGCCACTACTCGTCACCACTGCCCCTACACAGCCACTACTCTTCACCACTGCCCCTACACAGCCACTACTCGTCACCACTGCTCCTACACAGCCACTACTCGTCACCACTGCCACTACACAGCCCCTACTCGTCACCACTGCCACTACACAGCCCCTACTCGTCACCACTGCCCCTACACACAGCCCCTACTCGTCACCACTGCCCCTACACACAGCCACTACTCGTCACCACTGCTCCTACACAGCCCCTACTCGTCACCACTGCCCCTACACAGCCCCTACTCGTCACCACTGCCCCTACACACAGCCACTACTCGTCACCACTGCCCCTACACAACCCCTACTCGTCACCACTGCCCCTACACACAGCCACTACTCGTCACCACTGCCCCTACACACAGCCACTACTCGTCACCACTGCCCCTACACAGCCACTATTCGTCACCACTGCCACTACACAGCCCCTACTCGTCACTACTGCCCCTACACACAGCCACTACTCGTCACCACTGCCCCTACACAGCCACTACTCGTCACCACTGCCCCTACACAGCCACTACTCTGCCCACGCGCATCTCTCTCTGCGTGCAGCGTGCGTACTGCTCGATGCGCTCGTTGCGAGGCTGCTGGCGCGACCAGTCGTCGTCGCCGCGTCCCCCGCTGCTCCCGCTGTCCGACCAGCGCGTGTTCCGCGGGGGGTCGCGCCCCCCAAAGCTGCCCCCTCCGGGACCCCCGCGGGGGCGCCCGTTCTCAGCGCCATCGCGACGATCCGAGCCGCCTCCCCACCCACTTCCGCGCTCATCAAACCTGAGTGCAGACAAGAGACGCCCACCGTTAGGAGACACACCAACCCCCCGACAAAAACAAAGGTCCTCCCCGTATATCCCACTCTGCGCGTCCCGTATGCGTATGTTGCGCGCACGGATGTACTCTGCGTGTACTGTGCACCGTATTTGTAATCTGTATGTACTGTGCGGTGTACTCTGCATGGACTGTGTACCGTGTGTGCGTGTACCGTGTGTGTGTGTACCGCGTGTGCGTGTACCTGTACCGTGTGTGTGTGCGTGTACCTGTACCGTGTGTGTGTGCACCGCGTGTGTGTGTGCGTGTACCGCGTGTGTGTGTGTACCCACCGGCCCCTGCTGCCCCCACCACGGTCGTCCCCCAGGCGATCCCGCGCCCCAAACGCGCTGTACGTCTGCGGGTCTCCTCCTGCGCGCCAGGCATGCACAGTCACCGTCAGCTCGCACACGAACACAGTTACGTGCACAAGAATAGACACGCACACAAGAACACGCACGCGCACACAATAACACGCACGCAAAGATCCTCCGTACAGCCTTAACAGACTGTTGGGAGAAGTGCTGTTAGGCGGCACACGATGGGGTGGGTGGCCAGCACCACGCCCGGCCGCCTCGCTCCCCAGTGGCGACGTTTATTCACGAGGCCAAGTCGATCTATGGAAGGCCCAAAGCACAGTTCCAAAAATCGTCACTGGTCATTTCCGATGTGCGTCCACGTCTCTGCCAGTGTATGTACGTGTGCAAGTGTCCATGCGCACATGCACGCGCGCGCGTGTATGTGTGCGAATGTATGTGTGCGCATGTATGTGTGCGCATGTATGTATGTGCATGTATGTATGTGTGCGTATGTATGTATGTGTGCGCATGTATGTATGTGTGCGCATGTATGTATGTGTGCGCATGTGAAGTACCCGTCGAGGACGCTTGACAACGGAGTTGAGGCACACGTATATTTATTTAACAAGTTGCCAGTACAGGACAGCCCTAGAGGGGGTAGCGGCCCCCTCACCCGTATAACTCAGGGAATACCCCTAGCTATCCATAGCCTATCCCCTGAGTCCTCCACTAAGAGCTAGGGGAGGCTGTCTGGCCCGACACTGGTAATCGGGCTCGGTACCCGGAGTCCCAGAGCACTGGCTCTGGTTCACGGGACCACGCCACTGGCTCGAGCCTGATCCCGTGGGGCCCTGATAAGGGCGGCGATCAGGGGGAGTCCAGGGCTCTAGCTACGACGTCTTCCGACTTCTTAGCTTAACTATAACATAACTGACTAAGCCCATATAACGACCCCTTTTTATACCCAACCCTCCTTGAGGGGTGGGGCCCCGGGGGATCGTAACGCCGAACCAGCCCCCCCCCAGGGTGTCTGGCTCGGACGTCGCAGAGGGCATCTCCCTGTGCACACACGTAGCCCCGCCCACTGTGTTTCTTTCCCATAGGCTGCCATGCATAACGGCCCTCTCTCCAACGTCCCTACATCACTCCCCCCCGCATAGCTCGCAGCCGTCCCGGCTGCAACAATTTCAACAAATGAATCTTTACCCCTTGACTCCCCCCGTGTGTGCCCCATTTTTTTTCCATTTAACAGAACGAGAATTAAACAACAACACTAACAATGCCCCTAAAGGGAGAACAAACCGACGCGCCCCCCCCCCCCGAATAAATACGAAATCCGTAGAGGCAAGATATGTACATTTCCCGGAACCCTCAGCGCACGCACAACACGCACACAAGACGCACACACACACACAGCCATAATACAACAACGCGCCAAGAGCGCCACACGAACGCAGCGTCCAGCAACAATAGCACACGAAAGTGTACCAGAAAACGCAAAAAAAAATAAAAAAAAATTTCTTCTTATTTTCGTTTCGTTTTCACTTCTTGTTCGCGTTCCAGTGTTTTTATAAGAGTCTGCGCATTTTAGCGCGCGTCCTTGCCGCAGGCCCGTCACAAGGGCCAACCTCAGATGGCGGACCATTCGGTGGCCGCTGTCCCATCCGAGGCGAGTCCGCAATTGGAGTGGCGGGACCCTCGGCATCCCCCGTGAGGGATGTGCGCGAGCCCGTCATTCCGGGAGAACCTGGGGGCGGGGCAACCGGCAAGACGTCAGGTGAGATCAACAGAGGCGGACCCTCCGGGTCGGTCGACCCCTCACATGCTTGGCCCTGCGCGTGTGGAGCAGAGTCCCGCACCGCAACGAAGGGTTTTAGTCTAGAGGGGTGAACGAACCACCGGCGCCTCCCCCACTTGATACGAACGCACTGCGGTCGCAAAACCTCGACCACCTCGACGGGGCCCCGCCATGGCCGTACCAGTTTCGAGGAGGTCGCAAGCGGTACCTGGGGACAGTGCAGCCATGCCCTGTCCCCTGGCTTCCACTGCAGCACGTGCGCGCGCGCAAGTCTGAGGCGCTCATTCGCCTTTTGGCGCATGCGGGAATTGAGCATGGCAGCATCCCGCGCCTCAGTTAGCTTTTGAAGGTTAAATTTAACGTGCTCGTCCAATTTAATTTTACCTAGAGGCGCGGGGATCTGCAGCTGTGCCCGAACAGGTGGGTCATGTTCGCGACCATACATGAGAAAGAAGGGTGAAAATCCCGTGGCAGCATGGGGGGCCAATCGATATGCTGCCAGGACCCCTTGAATTTGCAAGTCCCAATTGGTCTGTGACTCCGAAACCAGGTGCGACAACATAGACGTGATGGTACGATGCAGACGCTCGACCATCCCGTCAGTTTGTGGGTGATAGGGAGAGGTACGAATCTTCTTTGTACCTAGGAGATCACAGACTTGTTTGAGGAGGTTCCCGGAAAAATTTTTACCCTGGTCGGTCAGCAGCCGCTCCGGAGCACCTTTGTCCATGACGTAGCCTTGGACAAAGGCGTCCACGATGGCTGCTGCCGACTGATTTGCCAGGGGCCAGGCCATAGGCCAGCGTGTGAAGTATTCGACCCCTGTTAGCAAATATCTATTGCCCCTAGGGGTGGCGGGAAACGGCCCCAGGATATCCAACGCTACGAGTTCGTTCACCCTGGAGACTGTGATGGACTGCAACGGCGGGTTCGACTCCCGAGCTGGTGGTTTGCGTTGCGCACACCGGGGGCATGCTGCCAGGAGATCCGTGACATCCCGTGTCATGCCCGGCCAAAAAAAATCCAGCTGGAGCGAGGCGAGGGTCTTTTGGGTACCCAGGTGGAGGAGGCGCTCATGAGCAGCCCACACCACCTTACCCCGTAACCCCGCAGGAACTACCAGCCGGTGACGGTGGGATTTACCGTCCCAATGCATGAGCAAGCCCGCGTGTATTTCCCAATTGTCGGCATCACCCGTCCCACACCCCCTCTCCCTGGCGCGACGACGCAGCGCGAGGAGGGAGGCGTCCTCCATCTGGAGGCGTCCCCACTCAATCACAGGCAACCCAAGCAGGGAATCCCTTCCCTGTTTCCCGATCTCATCGGGGAGCGATGTGTCAACATCGGCGGCGGCCGCCAGGACTGGAACCGTCATGTCCCCAGCTGGCTTGCAACGCCCCGACCCCAGGAGGCATGCGCATTCGGAGGTGGTTGGCATGCGCGACAGAGCGTCCGCATTTGTGTGGCGAATGCCCTTACGATAGGTGGTGTCAAAATCGAAATCCTGGAGGACCTCCAGCCATCGGGACAATTGTCCCGATGGCTGTTGAACCTTCAGGGCGTACTGCAGTGCCGCATGATCCGTACGGACAGTGAAATGCTGACCGTACAGATATGGGCGGTACTGTTGGATGAAGAAAACAATTGCCAACAGTTCTCTACGGGTGACACAATATTTTTGCTCCGCTGGAGACAACACCCGACTGCCGTACGCAACCACCCGTTCCACGCCATCAACCACCTGGGAAAGCACGCCTCCGATACCTGTGTTGCTCGCGTCGGTGTCGAGCAAAAACGGCCTCGAAAAATCGGGGTAAGTCAAAGGAGGAGCCTTCACCAATGCATCCCGAAGGGAGCAGAAAGCTACTTCCTCCTCCCGACCCCAGTGGAACCAAACCCCTTTTGATGTCAAAGCATGTAGGGGTTTGGCAATTGTAGCAAAATTAGCGACGAACCGTCGGTAATATGAAGCGAAGCCAATAAAACTCCTCACCTCCCCCACCGAGGTCGGAATTGGCCAGGAGCTGACACACTGCGTTTTGGCGGGATCGGTAGCAATACCCGAGCGCCCCACGATGTGCCCCAAATAACGCACTGACTCGCGAAACAAATAGCATTTTTGGGGCTTAAATTTCAAATTAGCAGCCCGCATCCTTTGGAAAACCGCCCGCAGCCTCTGGAGATGTTCGTCAAAGGTTCTTCCAAAAACAATTACGTCATCCAAATAAATCAGGCACGATTCCCATTGCAATCCAGCCAAAACCAATTCCATCAACCGCTGGAAGGTTGCCGGCGCTGAGTGTAAGCCCATCGGCAACCGGTTGAATTGGAACAGGCCGTGCGGTGTACGGAAAGCGGTTTTAGGCTTCGAATCATCGTCCAGAGGAAGCTGCCAGAATCCCGAAAGTAAATCTAGTGTGGAGAAGAATCGCGCTCCCGCCAAGGCGTCCAGCGATTCGTCCATCCGTGGGAGCGGGTATGCGTCGGCAACCGAAACCTTATTAAGGCGACGGAAATCTACGCAAAACCGCAACGAGCCATCCTGTTTCTTAACCAGGACAATCGGTGCTCCCCAAGGGCTGGTAGAGGGAGAGATAATGTCGGCGGCTAACATGTCATCGACAGCCGATTTGACATGGTCCTTTTCGGCGGGACTCAACCGAAAAGGATTTTGGCGAATAGGCGCGCTGTCACCCGTGTCAATATGGTGACGCAGCAGGTGAGTACAACCCAAATCGTATTTATTCCGACTGAAAACGTCGGAAAATTCCTTTAGCAGCGATCTAAGCCGTTGGCGCTCTAAATTGGACAGGTTCGTCGATCCCGCACAAAGCGCGTCGAGCCACCCTTCATCGCCGTCCGAATGCGGGTGCGTCCGAGCAGCAGTGTCAATGTGGTTCACGGCAGGTTCCTCGCAGGGCACCGGCGTCGCGTGAGCGAGCACAGTCCCTTGGGGAACCACTACTGTCTGCGACCCGACATTGAGGACCGCGATGAAGGGATCCTCGTCCCCCCTTACGATGGTCTGGGCCGGAATTAAATGAGGCCCATTAACCCCGGCCCTAGACGGCCCCAGCACAACACCCTGATCCCCAACACCCTTAGCGAAGGGCCTACGAAGTTTAAGAGGTACCAGCATTTGTGCCCCCGGCGGCACACGCACTGTTTTTACGACGAACGCCGGTACCGTCGCGAACGCCGTCCGAGTCGCTACAGGGGAAGGCAGGAACGCCATACGTCGCCCCGACGGAAGCTCAATGCATCCTTGGTCGATCAAAATACGAATTGGCATCCTGCCCAAGAAGTCCGTCCCCAGCAGGCACGGAACTGCCAGTGAGGAGGAGACAAAAATCGGCCCCGACAATTTGATGTCCCCGATAGAAATTTGCGCTCGAATCTGTCCCACGATGCCGAGAGAGCCCCCGTTAGCGGCATAGAAAGGGACATTAACCGGTAGCAAAGGACGGCTCTGCACCGGTAGAATATTGTAAATTAGTTCCGAAATAATTGTCGCCGATGCCCCTGTATCGACTATGATGCGTACCTCCACCCCATCAATGTAACCGACCACGGCCGACGATCCCGACGCCGCGGCCACCACGCGATGGGCCAACACGGACCACCGCTCGGGCTCGATTTGAGTCCCCGCAGTGATCCGCGCCGGTCCATCGCAGCGCCCCACCGGCCCCCCGTTCGTTACGGTGCGAGAGTGTGCGACAGGTGGGTGCGTTGGCCAAACATGTGAGGTGCCGCGACTCGCCGGATCATGGTGCTGGAGCTTGGGAGGAGTAAGAGGAGGGCCGGCGTCCTGTCGAGGCGTCGTCCCCCGCTGTCGAGGAGAACGGCACCCCGAGGCGACATGGCCCCGGATGCCGCAGTTGAAGCACCGCGGGAGCGCCGATGGAGACGATGGACGGTCGAAACGCCTCGGCCCGTCCCGACCCGGCCGCGCCCCCGTCGTCTGTTGCCGTCGATGGTCGACGGCATAAAGTTCTTCTGACGGAAGGGTGGCTGCAGCCACCGCACGCCCAGCCGATGCCCTGTTTGCCTTTCGCCGCTGCTGCAGAAGGTTGGCGTGGAGGAGTCGCGCAGCCTGGAGGGAGGTCATTTCTGCATCCCCTTGTGCGATGACGACGATGTCGAGGTCGTCCGCCAAGAGGAGGATCTTCTCCGCGACCATTGCGTCCACGCCGTCGTCGTCCATGCGGGGAAAGGCTGTTTTTGCCAGCGCCAGAAGACTTGTCCGGAAAGCCAGAGGCGACTCTTTTTCACCCCGCCTGCGATCGTAGAACTGCTGACGGCATTCGGCTGAAGGTCCATAGACCCCGGCCAGCAGCTGTAGCGCCATTGGTAGTGTAGCCCGCTTCTCTTTTGGCGCCGACGTGAGTGCGGCGAGCGCGTCCCCATCGAGGAGCGCCGGCAGCGCGCAAAGGGCCTCCTCGTCGGACCACCGCGCCATCTCCTGATGGGCGAGGAAGCGTCGCCGGAAGCCGCCCCAGTCACCCTCCGCACCGATGAATTCCTTCAGCGGGGGCAGCCTTTGGTGAAGCGCAGCGGTCGATGTGGACTCCCGCAGGTTGCTTTCACCTCCCTTTGGCGGTGCCTCGGCGCGACTGGCCGATGGCATCGCCTGTCGCGGCAGCGATGACGCATCCTTCGGCTGCGATGACGCTGCAGCCCCGGCGACGGCGATGTCGGAGCCGATGTCTGAGCTGGCCACGCCCCGAACAGCCGCGGCGTCCATGGCGGGAAATTCAAATTGTGAAGTCGCTGAAATGGCGGGAAAGTGCTCCGGCCGCCGGTTCTCCTCGCCCTGCGGTGGACCACCAGCCCCCAACCGCGTAATGCCTTCCAGTGTGGCGGCAGCGGCATAAAGTAGCTCCGCCAGCCGTTCGTGAGCCAGTCGTAGTGCATCTGGCTGCGGCCCCTCTCCATGCTGACGTCCCGGTGAGAAGGCGCCAGGCTCCGGCTGCACCCCATCTTGTTGCTCTGTCTCGGGCTCGGCGATCTCCGCGGCGTTCTCCTCTTGTGGTACCCTGGTCCGAGCTGTATGGCGCGTTTCCATTTTTACCACTTCTGACGCCAGATGAAGTACCCGTCGAGGACGCTTGACAACGGAGTTGAGGCACACGTATATTTATTTAACAAGTTGCCAGTACAGGACAGCCCTAGAGGGGGTAGCGGCCCCCTCACCCGTATAACTCAGGGAATACCCCTAGCTATCCATAGCCTATCCCCTGAGTCCTCCACTAAGAGCTAGGGGAGGCTGTCTGGCCCGACACTGGTAATCGGGCTCGGTACCCGGAGTCCCAGAGCACTGGCTCTGGTTCACGGGACCACGCCACTGGCTCGAGCCTGATCCCGTGGGGCCCTGATAAGGGCGGCGATCAGGGGGAGTCCAGGGCTCTAGCTACGACGTCTTCCGACTTCTTAGCTTAACTATAACATAACTGACTAAGCCCATATAACGACCCCTTTTTATACCCAACCCTCCTTGAGGGGTGGGGCCCCGGGGGATCGTAACGCCGAACCAGCCCCCCCCCAGGGTGTCTGGCTCGGACGTCGCAGAGGGCATCTCCCTGTGCACACACGTAGCCCCGCCCACTGTGTTTCTTTCCCATAGGCTGCCATGCATAACGGCCCTCTCTCCAACGTCCCTACACATGTATGTATGTGTGCGCATGTATGTATGTGTGCGCATGTATGTATGTGTGCGCGCGTGCGTGAGTGCGCTGGACCTCGCTCGTCACAGCCGTTGCGCGTGGCTCCGCGTGCACCGCGATCCCAACCGCGGTCGTTGTAACCGCCGCCACCTCCGTGGTCGCTATAACCACCACCACCGGCGCCGCGGTCACTGTACCCACCGCGGTCACTGAACCCTCCTCCTCCGCCTCCACCACGCTGAGGTCCGCGCCCACGGCCGTCTGAGCAACCGTTCACTCCTGGCTCAGCGCCGTCGCTCGCACCATCGTCTGTGTGGGGGGGGGGGGGGCACGCGGGGACAAGCGAGGGGTTACACATGGGTGTGAGAGGAGGGTCACGTGGGGGGGTTATGGGGGGGGGGGGTCAGTCACACACACGGGGCAGTCACACGGTGTTCATAGGGTGGTCACACGTGGCAGGGGGAGGTATAACAGCGTGGGTCTTGCACACGGGTATCACACACACGGGATATCTCTCGCTCACAACACACGCAGCATGTGGAGTGTCGAAGGCTCGCCAGCAGGAGGTCACGGAACAGACCCTGGTGCTATAGGTTAACCGACTGGCAGGAGCACGCAAGGGCCACTCGCACACAGCCGTCACACACCCGCCTATCGCCAGCCCGTCGTCGCCCGCCAGAGGTCGCAACCGGGTACCCGATACCCGTACCCTACCCGATACCCGGCTACCCGTACCTGGCCGGGTACAGGTACCCGTTTGCGACCCTGGTGCGGCCGGGTACGGGTAGCCGCACGTGACTCACCCCAACCAATGAGTGATAAGGCCGTGAGTCACTGGTGAGTAACCGTTTGTCACTCATTTCCCAACGTCTTGTCTCTTCTCACAATTCAAGTTCCTAGAATCAACCCACCCGCGCCTGCAACATTGCTTCATCCCAGAGGTCGCAATCGGGTACCCGATGCCCGTACCCTACCCGATACCCGGCTACCCGTACCCGACATCGGGTAACCGTTTGCAACCCTGGTGCGGCCGGGTACGGGTAAGGAATCAAAACCCGTTTGCGACCTCTGTCGCCCGCCCGTCGCTACCCACGCGTCGCCCGCCCGTCACCGCCCGTCACTACCCGCGCGTCGCCCGCTAGCCACGCATCATCCGTCGTCCACGCACGCATCACTCACGCACGCCGCCGCCCTGAGGTTCGCGCCCGTTCACTCCCTGCTCAGCAGGGTCACTCGCACCATCGTCTAATGGGGCACACGATGGCACGCGCGGCGCGCACACACACACGGACGCGCACACACACACACACACATGCTGGTTACACACAAACACACTGCACACAAAGATCTCCCGTATAGCCTTAACAGACTGTTGGGGCAAATGCTGCTAGCGAGCACCTGTGAAGGCCGGCACGGCACAACAGGCTGGGCGGCCAGCACCACGCCCGGCCGCCATTGTTTCTCAAGTGGCAATATTTACACACCACACCAGGTACTCATTTGAGGCAGAGTAAACATAGGGGAAGCCCAGGCCCAGTTCAGATAATCATCACTGGTGTTGGCCGTGATCGAACTCGGGTCGTCGGGTTCGTAGCGCAGCCCGCTAACCGTGACACTACCGCTGACACAAACACTGCACACGACACACACACATGGGTGACTTTACCGAAAGAACCAAGAAGATTAATCCCTGCAGTCACGAAAGCTTTAAATCGAAACACATGGGTAACAAGCACGGGGTTGCACACGGACACACACATGCAGGTTGTACACAAACACCGCACACACGAAACGCACACAGGTAACACACGCAGGGTTACACACGGAAGCACACACACGGGTTGCACAAACTCGCAACACTTGCGGGAGTTTACACACAAACACACACGCACATGGCATGCGTGGGTCACACACACACGGACACGAGCACACCACACGGGTCGCACACACGGGTCGCGCACACACACACAGGCTGCACACAGACAACACAGCAGCACAGCGATGGTGGTGGTGCGGTGATTGCTACTCACCACCTCGGTGACCACCACTGCGGTTTCTCAGGTGAGGGGGAACGTAGCGTCCTTCTGTGTGCACGAAAACACACGTATGTACACACACCAGACGCACACGCGCACACACACGAGCAAACACGCACGCACACACACACACACGTGGACACTTCCAAGTCAGTAACTACTCTCCACAATTCCACATTTTAAATGGTTCGACATTCAGAGTCTCATCAGGGGCAGCGTCAGGCTCTGCTTGAACCAATGCTGGTGAATTGCCCCACATGTTTAGAAGGACAGGTTTCAGCATTCAGAGCCTCATCAACATTAGAGTCAGGCTTGGCTTGAACCAATGTTGAACTGTCCAGATGTTTATAGGCTGGGTGAGTAGCTGGGCGAGTGGGCAAGTGGGCGAGCGGGACTCACTGGGCTGATCTGCTCCGCTGCTGGCTTGAGAAGAGGGGCCGTCCAGAACTAGACCAGCGATCTGTGGAAGAGAGAGACGGTTACATGGCAACCAGGCCAGCCCTGCTCCTGAAAGTTCCCAGCAACTGCCAGAGGCAAACCGCAACTCGCAGAAGCAACCCGCAAACAACTCCCAGCAATGCAAGGGAGGATAGCCAGCCACTTCCAAACGAAATGATTCTCAACAGAGATGCACACAATTGAGTTGAGATGAACCAGAGACGGACGACAGACACGGTTGTGCACGTCGAGCGTTCACATATCCAGGTTGTATCGCGCACACACCACACATGCACAATGCCTTCCTAGGGGTTCATTTTGGCAGCGTTCTTCATTGCAAGGCCACCATGGGGCCACCCGGCAGCCCTTAGTGGGGCCTTTAGTGCGACTCTGACGTACCCCATCATTGTGCTGTCAAAACCCCCAATTGGTTTCAAATGTGTGGTGGCCCTCACACACCGATGGGGCGACGCTGTGGCTAAATGTTCTCTGCCTCGTCTGGTATACAGGTGGTTGTGGGTTCGATCCAAACCCTGCCGCCTGCTGTATATTTGGAGTTTGCACGTCTCTCTCCCTGTGGTCGCATGGATATATATGCATTTGTCTGTGCCTCGATACTGACGTGTAGATGGTGTGGATATTCTTTTTTCTGTAGCAGCTGTTGCTTCCTCTGTCGCTTCTTCTGCAGAATTGGTCTGATGGAGCTAAGACACTCGGCGCGGCTCGGTGCAAAAAGACAACATAGCGACCGGTGTGCATACAGCACGGATCGTCCTGGAAATTTGACACAGCACCAGAGAACTCACACAGGAGAGAAATCCTTTAAGTGCAGTGTGGGTGGGAAGGAGTTTGCACAATCATCTTCTCTTGTAATACACCAGAGAACACACAAGGGAGAGAAACCCTTCAAGTGCAGTGTGTGTGGGAAGGCATTTGCACAGTCATCTTCTCTTGTAACACACCAGAGAACACACAAGGGAGAGAAACCCTTCAAGTGCAGTGTGTGTGGGAAGGCGTTTGCACATTCATCTTCTTTTGTAACACACCAGAGAATACACACGGGAGAGAAACCCTTCAAGTGCAGTGTGTGTGGGAAGGCATTTGCACAGTCATCTTCTCTTGTAACACACAAGAGAACACACACTGGAGAGAAACCCTTCAAGTGCAGTGTGTGTGGGAAGGCGTTTGCACGTTCACCACATCTTAAAAGACACCAGAGAATACACACTGGAGAGAAACCCTTCAAGTGCACTCCGTGCGGGATGGCGTTTACAGATTCATCAAATCTTCATGTACACCAGAGAACACGCAAGCATCAGAAGATCCACAAGGAGCGGAGTCTGAAATCAGCTTGTGAAAGTCAAAGTGCTGCAATGAGCCCATCCCTCATGAAACAAGAACCGGAAGAAAATCCCAGCTTGGACACTTTTAAAGAAATCAAGGTGAAATATGAAGAGGTGAAGGTGAAATGTGAAGAAGTGATGGTGAAGAGCGAAGAAGTGAAGGTAAAATGTGAAGATGAAGGTTCAACTCGAAAATCGGACCTTCACATCGATGGTGGCAACGTGAAGCAGGAGGAGAATTCTGACTGTGAGGCAGAGCGAGGCAACTCCCAGCAGTTTGTGGAAGTGGAGGTGTGGGTGGACTTCCGAGACAATAGAAAGTCAAATGGAGACCCGGTAGATGTGTAAGCCTGAGACGATGTCGCTCCAATAGATGCATCTTTGTCACAGGCCTTTAATGACAAGAATGTGAAGTTGATCACTCAATTCCTAGGTGCAATCTGCAGGGTAAGAGCGGCCAGTCTTTGTGGACCTGTGTGTTGGGTAGATCTCTAACCAGGAGCAAGAGCCAATAAGCTCCCAAGCATTCGCTATGTTATATTTGCATTTATATGGTGCTTGCTTAATCGCCTCTGGCAACTAGGAGATTTGTACTGTATCGTATCTCTTTTCAAACATTCGAAGAGCATCCCCAAGTAGCAGCTGCCCCTGTGTGGCACAAGGAAGTGGCCCTGCACCGGCCTGCATGTGGACAAGAGCCTGTCAGTGGGGGGCGATGGTTGATGTGGCATCTTGGTTGTGGAGTTTGTAGGTAATGTTTGGAATTTGCTTAATTTTTACCCAGACACCAGCATTCGTTTTGAATGGCGCAATAGTATGTTGTACATTGTTAAGCGGACAGTTTTTTTTACATCTTGTTAATACGATGTAACCTGATGCAGAATATTTCAGTGCAGTAATTTAACTTGGTTAAAATGATTGTCAATCATTTAGAATGAATACTTGTCTGATTGTCTGTATACATGTAACATTTAACTATACATTGAATAAGTGATGTTAGGACAAAGTTTGTTTTGCAGGTAACCTGTACAGATCACTTGTTCTCATGATACATGTCAAAGGGTACTTTTGTGTTTTCAGGAAGCGTCTGCCTCTGGAGCAACTCATTGTCTTTTAGATAGTGAGTACGCTCGGATCATTCATCAGTTACAAGGCATACCGATTAAAAGTTACACGAAAAAGAGGAACATTCTCTACAACACGAATTATAATTTTGTATTATGTGTTGACATAGATTTTGTCGAATTAGGACAAGAAATGGTCCTTGCTGATTGGAAAGTGACGAAAGAATTGCACACGAGCGACGCATCCACGCAAGCTCCCGATGCTCCGTTTTGAAGTTTGAAAATGAAACAACTTTGAATTGTATTATGTTTTGAATTAGATCATTGTATTTCTTCATTAAAAGTTTATTCGTTGAAAGCGATATTTCGTGTGAAATTTCTCTCGTCGTTAAGTAGATGGCCTTGCTGGGGGTTCGGTTTTATGCGGACTTTCACCTGGTTGGGATCGCGGGATCGAGATGAGGCGACAGAGCTGGCCGTGCGAGAAGACCGCCGTCTGCAGATCGATTCCAACGCCATCGAACGTCTGTCCCTGCGCCTCCGTCGTTCATATGCAGAGGGTGCGTAGGTTTGCAGCGCCCCCTGCATGAAAGCGACGGAACGTGCAGCGTTCGTCGCATAAAGTTGTGCGTAAGCGCCATAACAAGGCGCTGTCAGCTGACCTGCCACCACGTGCACAGGTCAATAGGGGGCAGGCGAGAGAGAGCGAGGTGCGTAGGGGTCGACCAAAGGTTAAACCCCCGGCCCCCCACCGTGACCGGAGACTAACACCCCTGACCCCCCACTCGTCCCTAAGGCCCCTTAAGACCTTCCAGAAGGTTCTGGGAGGGGGGGGGCGGTCAGGAGGAGAGGGGCGACCCCGACCTGGGGATAAAAGTCCGGCCCTCTGGACGGGCCGGGTGGTGTTCACCAGCTCAAGCCTGAGGACATCCCAAGACCTGAAGACTGGACCAGCACCCGGAGACCCTCAACCGAGGCTCTAGCTAGAGCCGCGTTGTAGCGGACCCGAGGTGAGCTCCTGTACCCTGGCTGGGACGGCTCGTCCAGTCTTCCCTGAACGCCGGGCTCAGGGACCCGTGGGTAGCAGAGCCCGGAGTGTGCAGGCTGCTGCGATAGAAGGGGGCTGTCACTCCCGTGGGCTGTCGGGTGGAAGGGGCCGTACCCCTTCGTGTTACAGTCGTGTGGAGAGGAGTCGAGTTCGAAAGAGTTTTTATAATAAACGCGTTGCCTCAACCAGAGTATAGCCAGTGGGTTTTCTAAGTACATTCGTCTTACAGAAATCAATTTCTTGTGAGCCCACCGCATTAAAACAATGCTCAGCTGAGCGCGGAGAGCCCCGGGGGGGGGGGGGGGGGGGGGGGGGGGTCACCTCATCTTTGTCACGTGCCGTAGCTCACGTGACTTCTGCCGCGATCTAACTCGATGGTCGCTATTTTTATTAAAGCCTTTATATTAAGTTCACGTGCTTGCGTGCTTGCTTACGACCGTGCAAATCTTTCGGTCGTTTTTTAACCCACTTCCCGTGATCCAATCGAGCTGACATTTTCCACACAGACTCGTTGTGCCAGACAATTAATATTTGTGAAAAAAAATTCCCAAAATGTTACACTTTTTAGGCAAATTTTTTTTATTTTACATATATTCAAATATAACTCATTCTTGGCTTTGGCTGAACGTCACAGTATAAGAGCCCAGAGCGTAACCCGTCCACAGGCCGTGGCGGAGTAGCGCAGTTGGTAGCGCCCTCGCTTCCCATGCCAAAGGTCGCGGGATCGATCCCCGCATCCTCCACAGGCGAATATATTTTTAAATCCTTTATATTAAGTTCGCTGCCACGCATATAAAGGATTTATAGTGAAAAACTTTGTTTTTACGGGTTATACTTATTAAATCCTTTATATTAAGTTCGCTTGTTTGCTTGCTTGCGTGCTTGCTTGCGTGCTTGCTTGCATGCTTGCTTGCTTACGACCGTGCAAACCTTTCGGTCGTTTTTTAACCCACTTCCCGTGATCCAATCGAGCTGACATTTTGCACACAGACTCGTTGTGCGAGACAATTAATGTTCGTGAAATTTTTTTCCAAAATTTTACACTGTTTTGGGAAAACAAATTAAATATTTAATTACCAATTGTTTAATACTGCAGACAATCATCTGACCCATAGGTGGCAGCCATCTCAAGCCAGAGGACGAGAGGACTCTAGCCGCCACGCATATAAAGGATTTAGAGTGAAAAACTTAGTTTTTACGGGTTATACTTATATTCACCAAAGAATGTTGCAAGTGCTGTGCACGGAGCCGTTTGACGAGTTGACGAGTGGTGGGAGCGCAGCAGATCCTTCACATCGGCTGACTGACAGGAGGGTCGCGAGCCGACTCATTGACACGCGGAGCATAGACCGATCTGCGAGACTCCATAATTATCACCTCCGATGACAACCAGTTACTGCGCCCTTTGTACTCGTTTGGATCGGCACGAGTTCATCAACAGCAGTGATGTCATTTTCTAATTGAGTTGCAAATGATTCAACCAAGCATCGATGCACGGATCAACATTTTTGAGACTGCTGCTGTTGCTGATAATAAATCAGGGCCTCGATTTACAGAGCTGGAGTTTAATTGTGTATTGACACCACAACGGTAGCATCACAACGGTGGCATCACAAACAGTGATATCACAAATAATGGTGACATTT